CAATGCACATTCCACATGCTCTTATTCTCTAACACAAAATTTTGGCGTAAAGTGCCTCGCATATTTCTCCTATCTCTTTCCCCTAACATGGAACTCGAGCTCAAAGAAATGTTAATGGGGAATGTGAGACATTTAAAAAGGGCAAGTATAGATTATAATATTTCTTAGTTTCTCTCTATACCGAAATCGCATTCAATAATGTCTAACTTAGTATCCAAAATCGAAAATATTCTATTAAATGGACCTTTAGATGCAGTTTGTGGTGCAAATGTAGTTTATCTAGCAATGAATGGTAATGAGTTAGGTAATTATGAAGATGTTAGAACTTTAGCGGATAACGCTGTGAATTCTGCATTAATGAAAGTAACTGATATGGAACGGAGAATGAAAATCTTAGAGATTCTAGCTGAGGTTAGTGACATATTAATTAGATTTTTTTGTGTATACGCTTTTATGATGATACTACAACAGATGAACTATAATGGCGGTCACTGCTGAAGGTTAGGTAAATGCCGACCCGGAAGAGCGATATCTTTAAGGACGCTTCGAGATATCGAGGGTACTATTTTTCCTGGCTGTGCGTGACTTTTTTGCCAGATGTTTTTAGCCTTATATAATCTGAAAAATGGTACCATATTGTGTGCACACAATGTTTATTTCGCGTGGAATCTAACATTTTCATCGGTTGTAGATGACGATTGCATACAAAAGCATTAAAGGTTTGAGAGCGATAAAGGCACTAAATACGGTAATAATTTATATAAATTGGCTTAGAAGTTACTACGAGAGTCAAGACCTCAGTGGTATCAATATTTTCTGATATAGGATAAGGAAGTTATGCAAGATCAAACGCGAGAAGAAATAGAGCAAAATTATAATACGTTGAAGTCAAAGCTTAGTGTGAGTATTCAATAATTTATATTACGTTCTCGCTTATTGAATTTAATAGATGATTCTTTTCCGCGTAGAACCCCAAGACCGATTCAGATATATCTCTTTATGATGCCCTAAAGAAAAATTTGGTGAATTATATCGATCCTGCTAATCTTTCATGGCAAGATCCGGAGGCGAATATGGTTTTAAGCGACAAATCTCTTTTGGTAGAAAAATTAGGACAGAGACAAAAACGTATTTTCATGGTAAATTTATATAAATTATATTTATAAAATAGTATCCATTTTTTTTACTTTTATTTTTATTATCAGGAACCGTATGAAAATATGAAATGTACATTACCTGAATCAGTTATATCTAAGTGCGAGCTGTTCATACATAATTTTAATAAGGCGAATATTACAAATATGTCTAGAAATATTGTACATGATAAGACCTGGAAAGAAAATACATCTACATTGGAAAAAAGAGCTGAGCGTATACTAAGTGTGCTGTAAGTACTATTTCTTGTGTAGCTGACTAATAATTAACTTTACTTATTTGTCTTTTATTTCTTATAGCGGTGAGATTTGGAATAATCCGGCGTTCGAAAACAGTACAACTCGTAAAGAACAGAGCGAAGGGACCTACATCACGGATGTGGTGATGCCTTTGCTTCGAGCTAGTTTGGAAGATATGCCAAATGGAAAAACCTGTTTAAGCACGTAAGTAGATTTTTGAAAGAAATAATCTTATTCATCGAATGAATTTTTTAAGGGTTGACTTATTTTTAGAGCGGAACGGCAGAGCTTGGCAAGTAAATTTCGAAGGAATTCTGGTGAAATAAGCAAAGAACGTATGGGAAAAAAACCCGATGCCATGTTATTAATAAAGTATGGAGGTAAAATCAACGAACTTGCATACGCGGAGTGTTCCCGTATCATTTGTAATGATACAAAGAAAGCTAATGATGAAGTGAAGTTGTGGCGAGAGACACTCGATGGTATTAGTTTTGTTAATTTGTTGTGCAGACCACTTAGCAACCAATTTGGGATTGTAGGGGTTCAGGTTGCCGGAGAAGATATATATTTGAATATTTTGGTAAATGACGCGGGTGGTTTGTCTCGCTATTTTCATATCGATCATGCTGAAATTCCTCTAACGAAATCATCACGGAAGGTAAAATCGCTCTTACGTTTGCTATTAACTTTGAGAAATATTATGATCGTGAACAAGAGTCTTCTAGTGCAGGCATTAGATCAAGCCACTTCTCATCCACCCCGAAATGTTAACCCAAGTCCTACCGTTTCCACGCCCCCATATAATAAGTAGTTAGTGTAGAATTTTTTCGTGTATTTTAGCGTAGAAATATCATGTATTATAGGCTATGTAATTTATTAATAAAAAATCTCTTGGCAATTTTCCGAGATCGTAGGTCCCGCAATTTTTTCATTTTTTACTTTTGAATATTGTCATACTAATACTACATTACGCTAGTATGCAATCCGAAATAGATGAGACCAATTTGAGAAGTTCTATTGCTAGGTTCTCGGCCGAGAATGATAAAATTAAGGCTGAGTATAATAAAATTAAGGCCGAGAATGATAAAATTAGAGCTGAGAATACTGAGCTTAAGGCCAGAATTGCGAAATTGGAAGATATGCAAACACAGAATGAACTAATAAAAAATTTGCTATCAGTATCACAAAAAATACTTACCTGACCCGTGACTAGTCTGATGACCATCCTTCAGGAGCCTAACCAATCTCCTATCAGATGTGACGCAATTCGTGATATTAACCTGACAGGCGCGTATTAGTGGCCTATAGGTCTATTTCTTGCATGCAAACTTTTTTTTTGCGCAAAACTATATCTATTATAATGTTTCATTCCGACTATAAGCATATTATTGATAGACTACCTGAAAGTCTTGTCAAGAGAGCGTGTGAGAGACTCTTGCACCATTCTAAAGACCCTGTTCCATTAGAATCTATTTCCAGAAAGTCTGAACGAATTGAATCTTATTTGAGGCACACATTAGAGGTTTATGAGAATTCGTTAAATAAGAAGAAACGTAAAACTATAGCCCAGGAAAAATTATTGCGCCCTCGAAGCTGGCCAGAATGTAATGTATTTCCTACATCACCGGCTATATATGTTACTGACATTGAAGTCCAAACAAATGGCATCTGGCCAGAGGTGCCAAAGCATGATCATGAAGAAGAGAATAATCGCCGGATTATGAATGAGCTTAAAGTACTATCCTAGCACCTGCTTGATTATAATAGACGAACTTTTGGGAAATTTATGCAAGATATTGAAAAGGATTATATAGAACGGATTACTGCAAATAAGAAAATGCGCTATGAGATCGAAAATCTGAAGATGCAGTTACTAGAGACGGAAAAAGAGCTGGCATCTATGAGGTCGAATTCTTCTCATTAGTTGGGGATACTTTTTTTCCTTGTACTTTTGCAAAGTAAGATCCTGGCCAAGATCATGCGCTTTTTGAGGATCTATATAAGTAATCGGTTCTTCCATCTTTCTATATAATCATGAAAAAAGAATGGCATTTCGGAGGCCTCATCCAAGGCAGAGAAGAACGTGTGAAGAATATAAAGCTGAGCTGGAGGAGGAGAATTATCATCTTCGTAGTGAATTGCAAACAGAAGTTGATACTAACCGCCAGAATGAAAGTCGAATTAACCAACTGGAGCGAGATTATTCCCGGTGTGAACAGGAAATCCAAGTTCTCAATAGGGAAATAGAGCGTCTTGAGAATGCTTCGGAAGAAGAGATAGTGGAGTTGAAATCTGAAGTCTCCAGTCTAAAAAGTCAGCTATATCAAGCCAAGAAGGATGTACGAGATAAAAAAAGGTTATTACTGATCTAGAAAAGCGCTTGGAAGAATCTGAAGAGCAAGTTGATAGACTACGATGCCGAATCAGAGCCATCTCATCACGAAAGAATACGCCTGAACGAGGGAATTCTCCAGACTTGTATAATCCTAATATTAACTTAGAAATGGCTACCATCACAGAGCTTGCAAATGCTATAGATGGATTTCTAGATAATACGGCAGATAGGGTCATCATGTCAGACCAAATAAAAAGAGCTACAAGGCAGATTCGCCGAAAAGAGCAAAATTTGCATCAGGATTTAATCCGGGAGCAACGGAGGCGATATGATGCAGAAGCTATACGTGACAATGAAATTATCCGAAGGCAAAATGCTGAGGGGGTGGAACAGATGGCTATTGCTGACCTTCATCAGTTACGAACTAATGGCCGAAACCAAGTTAACAGAATGTTAGATAGGATAGCAAGAAAGCAAACCCGTATAGGTGTGCTGGTACAAGAAAGATTTGCCTTACAGTTATTGTATCAGCGAAATGCCCATAATCTGCAACGAAGTAGAGGGGATATAGGTCTGTTAGAATATAATCGAAACAGGCTCTATGAGCGATATGAGAAATGGAAAAATAAGACTCAAGCAGAGCGCCAAAATATTTTAATTTTGCAGGCACAAATTTTAGCGCTACAGAATAATCCACCTAATCAAATAAACATGGCAGGAGAACACCCCTATTTTGACTGGGATGATAATATTCCAGATTTTCTTGCGCAACTAAGATTAGACTTGCAAAGACGTGGTATAGATCCAGCAGATAATGTGGGAGGTCCACCAACTGGAAGAGATCAGGCAATAGGAGTTTTAAGAGGCTGTATGAGAGGAAGAACTTTAGAATGGTTCGATGAGGAGATTACTACAAAGCAAAATTGGGAATTAGTAAATTTAACTGATGGCACAGGACAAGCTAATTTAGTAGCTGTAAATGGGCGTACAGCTCTTCAGATAGGTGCTGATGGATTAAATGAGGCACTCGGACAACCTGGAAATGCAATAGTCAAGTTAAGAGCCGTAGAAGGACCTTGGGATGAAGACTGGCGTATAGCAGGAGGTCGGCCCTCAAATCTTGCTGTTAATGCGCCAAATGCTGGTAATGGAACTACAGTAGTTGTACCAGGCATTCGATTTGGTCAAGCCATATGGTGGCTAAAAACTCATTTCCCTACAGTAGAAGAGGAGCTTCGGGATATGATGTATGGAACAATCACAAAGGGAGACCTGACTATAGATGAATTATATAGAAAAATAGAACGAATAGGTAGACGAGCTAATTATAGACCTGAAGAATTACGTAGAAAGTTCTTAGATGCCCTTCCACTTCCATGGCTTGAAAAAGCTGAGGATATTGGTGAACATTTACCATTGAAAGAATTAGCTAAAAAGCTTTATGAGATAGAATTACGCCGAATAGCTAGATATAAAAGAGATAGAATACCTGACCCCCTAGTATCTAATCGAGCATCTCGGCAAATATATGATGAACCTTCGCCTGTTTCAGCTCCTCAACAGCAAGGAATATCTTTAGAAGATATGCAAAAAGCCATTCAAAACGCACTGACACAACAAAAAACTGAAAACCAGGCATTAGTAAAGAAAGTTATAGAATTACAATCTCAAATGGCTCAACAACAAGCACAAGTATCTGCCCCGCAAACAGTTGAACCAGTCAGACAGCCGAAAGGCCCACCAACTTCATTGAAAACAGAAGAAGGTCTCAAGAATTATTATGTAGCCGAATACTTAAAAGAAGTAGGTTTACTTAATAAGGAAGATTTAGACTCAGATTATCCTGTAAAGCCTTTTCAAAGACCTCGTCCACAGCGAAACAATATGTCTGCTAGGATTGATAGAGTAGAAGATGGAATTAATGAAACTCGTGATGCAGTAAACCAATTAACCAGTCAATTTCAGAAACTAAATATACGTAAATGTGATATTTGCGGAGAAACAGGTCATAGTAAAGGCAGTTGTCCCAATAGGCAGATAGCACGATCTAATTTTAATCGGTCTTATTTTAAACCTATTACATCTATAAATTTCCAAAACACGCCTCCAGGTTCTGATAATGAGGGAGATGGCTATGATGAAGAAAATAATATGTGGACTGGATATGATCCACCGGTAAAAAAAAACAGGCATCAGTAAATAAAAGCTTACATGGTGACTCTGCTATCCCTTCTTCCGATCTAGTAACTAGCCAGCCTGAAACATACGATCAGCTATTGCCAAAGCTTTCACCAGTCATGCGCAAAATGTGTCTATCTCGGAAGGCTCAGGAGGAGAAGTCAAAAAAAGATGAGTGGTTTTCATCCCTACAATACTTGAATGCTAGTATAAATGACTTACCAATCTCCGAATCTTTTTTAGATAATGGAAGTGAATTTGATGGATTTAATTTAGCTACTGCTGAAGAACTTGGATGGAAAGTTGATAAGCCTTCCAAGTTCGCTGTAAAAGGTAATTCTGAACATATCTCTGAAGCACTAGGATGGTATACAAATATAGCGGTTACCCTAAAGGACATGAAAGGGAATCCGATCATCACTATTGTTGGAAATTATGCTTGTGTTGACAATGGTGAGCCTAAGCCAATGCTATGGTTAGGAACGACAGGAATTCGAAAAGTTAAAGGTATTTCCGATCCAACTAAAAATCAGTTCCGCATAGAGGATCATGGAAAAACTTATATTATCCCAACCTTTAGCAAGGCTCCGGTAGTCAAAGATCCACCAAAAGAGGAGCAGGACCAAACATCCACCAATTCTTCTAACCTGATTGATGAGAAGAACTTAAAAAAAAGTGAGTTATGAGGAGCTCGAAAGAATGCTATATAGCACTCTCAAGTCTAAAGAAAATCTCAGCAGACTATGTGAGGAGTTGATATCACGCTATATTGAACTAAATGAAAAGCATCTTTTACGTGGCTAGTATCCTATTCACTTTTTCTGTGATTTTTCTGTCTCTCTTATCTTCTTTTTCATAAAATGCTTCTAATTCCTCATTGCTTATATTTAAACTTTCCTTTCGGCTTGGCGCTGAAGCTAGTGGTGTCTGAATAATAGCTGATTCAGAGATACGAACGGATTTAGACTTAGTTTTTTTTCCTCCAGCCTTTTTTACCTTACTTTCAGAAATAACATTGCATTCCACAATGTCTGCTTGTTGAGGCGAACCAGGTTCTTCCGAAAATGGATTTATGTCTTTAGGATCTATTTGTGGGTGGACTCCTCTCCATATTTGATATACCCGTCGTGATGATATTTTGTATTTGTTAGCCATGGCTTCTGATGCTCGCTTCATTGAATTTTTAGATTTAATAATATCCTGAATATCTTCAGCTGATAGGGGGGTCGCATCTGAACGCAGATACCGAAGCATTTTTTACAGATAGATATAAAAAATCTTTCGAAAGATTATCGGTATATTTTTCGATATTCATTCATTCATTCGATTTTTTTGTTCGATATTATCGGTATATTTTCGGTAGATTCGGTACATTCGATCCATCCGATATGTTCGGTATAACCGGTACTATCGATATATTTTCGGTAGATTCAGTCCAGACTTTTTTAGTAAAATATTTTTTTATTATACTAGCAACTAAGCCGAAAAAAAAGGCTATGACCAATGTACATACCTTGAATGGTATTAATAATAAAGGTGATGGTTCCTTCAAGGGGATCGGTCAACGACTTGGTGGCACATATGAGCAAGAGCTTAAAGAAAAATTATATTCCGCTCTTAAATCTAAAGCCGAAATTAATGATCTCAACAAAAAGCTGATAGATAAGTACAATAAGCGAGAAAAGGAGTTTCAGCGAACCTATGCTGATGTTAGTAATAAGATTAGTCAGGCGAATGAATCCTGTACTAAGGTTAGATCCCGAATTATTTCTGAACGAAAAGCCCATTCTGAGAGACAACGTGAGCATGAAGCAGAGCGAGCCAAATATACTGCCGAAATCCAATCGCTCAAATCAGAGAATAAAACACTGAAGAGAAAGACGACTTTGGTCTAGAAAGCTTCATCCCTTGACAAGGATACGATTCTTTCTCTAGAAGCTAAAGTACGTGAATTAGAAGATAAGTCATCTGATCCTAAAGAGATCGATTCTCTCAGGCTTGAATTAGGAGGACCTTAATTCCAAAAATCATGAAATAGAATGTATGGAAAAAGGGATAGAAGCGACGCATGAGATAACCAGTCGGGAAATAGATGCTTTGAGAAAGGCGCGATTAAATTCAATAGAGGAAAATAGATTGCTACGCAACCAAATCCCAAAAAAAGAGCCGAGAGGCGCTTCGCATAATGAGATAGCGGATCTCTCTAACCCCTCACCTTCCTCTATGAATGATTCATCACAAAATCTACCAGGCTGGGTCAGTGATGATCTAAGACCTCTCGTCTATGAGCGTGGTCTTGAAGATAAAGTTATGGAATTAGATAAAAGTCATGTTAGGGAACATATATTAGAGGCTTTACAAGAGTTATTACCCCAGAATGAGATGGTTTCGAGAAGCCAGACAGATACCCTACCCAATCAATCTGTCCATAGTCGACCAATACATTCTGAAAAATTTATTTCGAGGGAAGGGATTGCAAAGCAATTGGGTGGCGCAGAAGCGGTATCTTTACCAGCAACTGCTCCTATTATCACAAGCTCCTTGATGTCGCCTACGTTAATATATTCTATACTTGCCATAGTACTTATTGCAATTATATGGTTCATGGCCAGGAAATGGTGGATTTCATGGAAAAAAAGTAACCAAGATTTCACCTACGAAAATTATATAAATAGGAATCATGCAAAGCGACTCTTGACCAGACCAGATCATTATTATTTTCAATCCTAATCTTCAGGAGGATTAATTAGGATCTTTTCAGCTTGAGGTATGGTCCATCTTCTCTCATCTATATTTTTTCACCTTACAATGAAGAAAAAATATTTCGAACTATAAAATACCCTTAAATAGAAATCAGAGTTATGGATTCCCAATCTGATACGCAGAAGAACCAAAAAACAGGACTACCTCCTATGAAACTTTACCTTATAGATATGGATGAGGCCACAAAGCATGAACCATCCCGAATTCAACTATTTTGCCAATTCTTCAAAGGTTTGTCCCATCTAAATCTAATTGATAAGGGGTCATCAGATGGTCTTCGGATATCAATAACCACGAAATGTTTTTTTATCACTTCATAAACTTTTTTTGCTAGAGGCTCATAATCATCATACATATCTTTAAGAATTCATTTTATACTATCTAATGTTCCACATCCACGATGCAATGAAATGTATTTAAGATTTCCGCGTATATTTGGATGGATTTCATAAAAACGCTGGGCAATATAAATTGAGCTAATTCCATCATGCCTGCCTGACCTAAAGAAAGGAACGATTTTTAGTTGAGTTGCCAGAGGTTCGCTGGCAAGATCATCAAAGACTATAAGAGTAGATCGGCCAGTTCTTTTGAAAGATGAAATATCAGGTAGTTCTTCAGGCGCGATCAGTTTGAATCTCACATCTTCGTACCATGGAGCTTGCTTATCCATGGCTATAAATTCATAAAAACATTGTACTGCTTCCCATAACTCTTCATCTTGGTGTTGCGCAACAACAATTAGATCATCACATGAAATGTACCTTTCACCAAAATTTTTGCTCCCACCTTTTGGTATTTTATGACCACGTTTTTCACCAGACATCCACGGATATATTTTCAGATATTTGCTTCCTAGAATCAGAAATACTACCATTCTCGTCTTTCCAGACTCAGAGGTGCCAGCAACTCCTAGTCTAAATGGTTATTTAGGAGCAAATGGATTCTGTTTTTTCGAAGGTATAGTTTCATCTAATTTGCGTAGTTCATAATATTCCATAGTATTTTGAAAAGTAGTATTAATTATCAAGAAATATATTTTCTTGATCGCAATGGTGAATTTATTGTATTTGATCTCACTAGGCCGGAAAGGTGATCCCTTGCAATCCGCCTAAGGTTTGACACTCCACTGAACTTGCAAAAGGAGATAGAGGCTAGGCAGAAGCGCAAGAAAAAGAGCGCCTCAGCTAATGAGTAGAATCTAACTTCATAGATACTAACTTTTTTTCGTAATTATATAAAATTGGAATGGGAGAACCAGTTATTTATATCGATCCTCTGAAAGCGCGAGAGCTAGACCAAATCATAGCAAAACAAACACCTACAATTAATATTGATCCTCAAAAAGCTCATGATTTAGACCGGCATCTTGCATTGCAAAAACTATATTATCGTCCTGAGGGTCTTTATCAAAATGTTAAGGGATTATGGGATGCTTGTAAAAAAGCCGACTACAGCTTTCTATTTATTGATGTAAAAAAATGGCTTGATAGGCAAGCATTGTACCAAATTTTTCGTCCTTCGCCAAAGCATATACCTTATGCCAGCTACTCTAGAATCACGAAACCGGATTCTGTACACCAGTGCGATTTAATTGAAATACCATATGATGAAGACGTGGATACAAATTTACTAGATGATGACCCAATATATTACTATGTACTATTGGTTATAGACTGCGCGACTAGATATAAAGATTTCGTTTTTTTAACATCAAAAAGTAGTGAAGAAGTCGCTGAAGCATTTAAGAGTATATATGATAATCCCGATAAGCCTCTCAACTGGCCTCAACTATTACAATGTGATGAAGGTCGTGAGTTTATGGGGAGTGTGACAATAATAATGGGTGAACACGGTGTTAATATCCGAAGAATTAAGGCACGTTTTAGACATACAAGTATGGCCATGGTCGATCGTTATGCTGGATTTTTCGAATTAAGAGTTTTTAAAAATCAGTATTCAATAGAGTTCCTCTTACCTACCGGCGAGCGCTGTAGGGAATGTAAACGGTTTGCAAGAAGAGTTGTTGATAACATGAATGATACCCCAACTCGACTAATTGGGATGAGCCCTAATGATGCCAGAAAATTTGAGCGGATATATTCCAAACCATCGGTAAAATATAATCGTCCAATAGGTGTTGATGAACCCCAGTTGCCAAAAGGTACTACTGTCCGATTTTTGCTTGCTAAAGGAGAATGGGAAAA